AAGAGAAAGAAGAGCAAGACGGAGATGAGGTGGGGCGGAATAGGCATCTAGCTCTGTGGCTTCTAAGTGACACGAGCCGTGGCTCCACTCCAGCAGGCACAGGCATCTGACCGCGCCCACCAGACGTCCCCCGTCCCGAGATGCTGAGGCCGTCAGGCATGAGGCCCAGCTGTGTCCGTATCGCCACACTTACGGAAACATGGACCTGGCCACATTCACTCAGGTGTCAGGACACAGACGAGCACATCATGCACGGCTAAGAACACAGACCTGCGAGACATGTGACACACATGCACTAAGTGTACACTTGTCTATTCGTGGCCCCTCTGTGCATGTGATGGACACGCACAGGCACAATGACACAGACCAGGCTCCGGCCCGCCAGCACGCCCCTCTCCACCACTGCTCATGGGGTGCATGTGAAGGCGGCCCCGTCCATCCGGGGCGCTGCTGGGCTGGACGTGAGCTGCACGCAGGACTCTGGATGCAGCGTCAGGTGAGCTGCCGGCCACCCACAGCGGCTCGCTGCAGAAGGCCACGCTGGGGCTTGGCCCGGGCCAGGAGACAGGCACCTCTCCCTGGGAGGTCCCTGGGTCTTCATTTTCAGCCGATGCCAGGCCACTCCCCCACTCAGCAAGGGCCGGTGAAGAATGTCCAGCTGAGATATTCAGGGGCTCTTCTCCCTGCACAGACAACTCTGTCCGGCAGCAGCTGAGCGAGCCGTCTCGTCAAGGAGACCAAGGCCACCCCCACACACAGCAGAGCACCCATCTCCAACACACAGAGATGTGTCGTTGGAGACACATCGCATCCTGTAGAAGTGAGACATGGATGTCTGTGTGAGCTGCCAATATGATCATCCGGAAAGACGGAGTTGACACATAATGCATTTTTATGATTCTGCGCTAACACGGTGACATGCAGCTATGACAAACTACTTAAAATAATCAAATTATTCCATTTTGTGGGAGAAAGAGGGGGGATTTAAATTTTTCAAAATAGATTTGAAACCTCCCCAAAGGCACATCCCTCGCCTTGACCCCAGGGGGAGGCTTGGGGGGGTGGGGGGGAGGGACGATGTTCCAGGCCCAGACCCCAGCCCTGTCCTCGCCACATGGCACTACGCCAGGAGCTTAGGGTGGACCCTCTAGAGGAACTATCATTGCTGCATTTTTTTCTTTAGAATGAAGAAAAAAATCAACATTGCACTCTCTGTCCTATGCTCTTGGGAGAGACCCAAATTTAAAATGGAAGGGGCCAGAGACAGAACAGTGGGGAAGGCACCTGCCTGGCACATGACCAACCCTGGTTCGATCCCCAGCACCATACAGGATCCCCTGAGCCCGCTGGGAGTGATCCCAGGAATAAGCTCCGAGCCCCACTGAGTGTGGCCCGAAAAAGCAGAAACCAAAACCGGGGGGATGGGAGGGGGGAGGGAGGGGAGAGGAATACATTATTCTTCATTCCCAAATTTCAAAGGCATGTTCCGACACTCCTTAGGTTATAAGCCGCACTCGCTGGGCCCCATCAAGGAAAAAAAAAAAAAAAACAAGAAAAGGCCTGGGCTCATCCTCAACAATCTTGTCCTCCGAAAACCCCGTTTCAAGCATGCCCAGGGCTCTCTTGTTTCCTCTGCCACCCTGACGGGGACACGGAGGGGAGGGAAAGTGACTGTCCGGGTCACATTCATCAAACATCTGAGTGCAGACCTTTTTCTTTACAAGACTCTGTGGTTCTGGCAATGGGGTTAATGAATGAAAGAAAATCTGAGCTGGTCCCCAACAGGGGCAGAGCTGTTGTCATGGAGAGTCCGTACAAGGAAACCATGTTCTTACAAAAAAAAAGAAGGGGTGCGGCAGCGCTGGTGCCATGCAGTTTGCTGCTAGGGACAAGGGACATCCCGAAGGCTGAGGTCAGCGCAGACCCCACGGGACCGGGGCAGGGGCATCTCCCTCCCTCCACGGTGTCCCCTAAGTGAGGAGCAGGGCTGGAGCGAGGCTGGGGCAGTTCTGAAAGGCGCCAACAGCAGAGCCCAGAGTGAAGCCGCCTGGAAGCGGAGCCGGCGAGGGTGGCCGTGGCCGGGGACGGGCCTGCTCCGGACTCAGCCTCCCAGCCCCGTTTATGTCAGAAGCAGCACCGCTGGGGGCTGGCAACTGTTACCAGAGAGCAAGAGCGCAGGTAGCAAGTGCGAGATATATTCTTAGCTCTCGGCAAAGTAGGTTATGGTATAAAAATACCATTCAATAGTAACTAAACCAGCATCACCTTCACCCGAGGCTGCAGCTTCTCCCCGAAACACGCTCCAGGCTGGGTCACCCTCAACCTTCCCTCCAGCTGGAGTGGACACACGAGAGGCAGAGGCTGACCCGGATTGTGGGGGAGGGGGGTGGTCCGTCAGTGTGTCAGAAGATGCCAGCACTGGGGAGAGGGTGGGGAGGGGGTCCGGGCCCAGGGCATGGACAGGGAATGGCATTCACAAACAGCAGCTGAGGTAGCTGCCAACAAAACCACCCTCAGCCCGTCCCCTCTGCCTGGGCCACCCACATGCCACCTCAGGCAACACCGCAGCCAACTGCCCCGATGCTCCAGATTCCCCCTGAACTCCCACACGGCGCCTGCGTGTGTGGGGGGGGGAGGGGGGGCAAATCCAGAACACACCACAGGGCCCAGAGAAGTCTCCAGCGAGCAGGCAGCACTGCTCTCCACCAAGGCCACTCCTGGAGGGGCCCAAGGACACGCCAAGGTCAACTGTGTCTCCGTGGAGGCTCTGGGCACGGGTGCGGGCCTGAACCCGAGGTCAGGGAAGCTGCCAACCTGTGAATGTCGACAAAATGGGGTGCGGGCGGGCACATCCAAATCCAGAGTCCAAAGCGACGTGGACCCCGGAGTTTGTCACGTCAGAGCCATGAGCCTTCATGCTCCTGAAAAGCCAGTGAGCCACTGTCCTCAGAGCCATCCCCACAGTTCCAGACGCAAACGAGGCCTCTGGCTTCCCAGCCAGCTGCCAAACAGAGGCACAGCCCGCGGAGGGCAGGCGCACAGGCAGATGAGAGCCTAGGGCGGGACCCTCTCACAGCAGGCTTGGAGGCTGCAAATCTTGGAGGAATCCAGCCCAGCACTGAGGCAAAAAAAAAAAAAAAAAAAAGCCCACATCCAGCCCCCAGGCCCAGATTCCAGGGACACTGCACGAGCGAAGCCCAAGCTCAAAGACCCACTGCCCAGACACAGCGGCAGACACTCCTGCTCGAAGGATGAACTGCAGCGCAGGACAGAGCTGCAGCGCAACTACTTAACGTTTACCTGGAGGGCTTCTGGGGGTTAACACAAAGATCTTCCTTCACCCAAGGGGCAGGAGAGAAGCAGCTCCCAGTTCGGGGGAGGGCGGTGCGCTCATTCTGGCGCTGACACTTTTCACTGTTTTTAACATCTTCCCAGCGCAGGGCTGGCTGGTAAGTGCATTCAGGGCCCCGCGAACCCCCAGCTTCAGGAGGCTCTGGACCCAAAGACTCAGCCTACCAGGCTGGAGGCCAGAAGCTCCCACTGGCACAGTGAGGGCAGGAAACAGCCTCTCCTGCCCCTCCGGCACAGCGCAGGCCCCAGGGAAAGTGAGGGGGCGGTGGGAGAGAAGGGGGCAGGCGAACCTCGGGAGGACAGGAGCCACGGAACCAGGGCAGCTGTGGGCCTGGGGCCCGGCCTTCCTGGGCACAGAGCTGTGTCGCCTGACCCGTGCCAGGGCCTGCAGCTTTAAATAAACTTGGACAGTCCACATGGGGCCGAGGAGCAAACCCGGCCGGCCAGGGCGGCACCGTCAACAACAAGCCAGAGCTCGGAGGACGCTGTCCCGGCCAGGCGCGCAGCAGGACCCCCATACTCCCGGACACCTGCCAGCCTGTTCCGGACGCGGCGTCTCTGTTCCTACAGTGCCCACACAGGGATGCCTTGCTGGCAGAAGCGAGCTCCTCCTCCGGGTACCTGTCGGCCAGCGGCCACTTGGGTTCCTGGGTACCCAGGGAGGAGCCTGGTCTTCTGGGGGGGGTGGTCTACCTCTCCCTCGCAGGCCCCCATAAGGCAACCTTGGAGACCTCTCTTCTGCACACGGCAGCTGCAGCCTGGCCCCCAGGCCCGGTGAGGACAGACCTGGCCACTGCCCAGGGCCCAGGGTCCCCACCGCGCAAGCAGGAGCTCGGTGCAGGCTGAGCAGCGGCAGGGAGGGGGCCGCTCCCCGGGAGGCACCGGCAGGCACAGGGCGCGCTGGTTCCCCGCTGCCAGCCCCCCGCCCCCAGCCGCCTTCCCCTCCGAGGACCCCAGACCCTGCGGCCCACCCTGGCAGGTCCAGCTCCCCCTCCCCAGGCCCCCAGGTCCACCCCGGCGCCTGCCCCTCCGCTCTGCTCGCTGGTCTTGCCCGGCCCTGCGGAGGGGACTGCTGTTTCCCTGGGACCCGGCCCCGCTTCTCCCCCGGGGGCCGCGGCTCCCCCTCGCCCCAACCCCCAGGCCTGACCCCAATCCTCCGGCCTGCGCAGGGGGAGCTGGGAAATCAGCACGCCCCCACACTCCGCCCCGCCGGCCCCCGCAGTTCTCGGCGATCGGCAGGCGCTGCCCCCACACGGCCTCTCCGGGTCTGTGCGGGAGGAGGGGGCGCCGGCCCGGGAGCGGGGCACGCGGCCCGGCGCGCACCGGGGAACGGGGCGGGCTGGAGGAGAGAGGTGCAGGGCCGGGGGTGGCCGGCTCCGGACCGGCCGGGCGGACGGGCCTGGGGTCCGAGGCAGGCGCGGAGCCGCGGTCGGGATGCGGCGGGCACAGGCGCGCGCGCGCGCGCGGACGCGGAGCAGCCGGGGAGGGGGCGCGGACACCTGTTCCCCGTGAGCCCCCCGCCCCGGTTCGGCCGGGCCGCGGCCCCTGCCCGCCTTCCAGAAGGCTCGGGCGGGGGAGGGGGCGCGGGATGCGCCACCTGCTGCGGCGGCGGCGGCGGCGGCGGCCGCAGTGCGGCGGCGAGCGCTTACTTGCCAATGTCCTCGTAGAGCTGGTACTCGTCGGTGAAGCGGGTGCAGGTGACCGTGGTGGCCATGGCGGGGCTGGGCTCGCGGCGCGAGATCTGCTGTCGGCCGCAGGAGCGCCGCACACCTCCGCGCGCTGTCGCCGCCCCCCGCGCGCCCGCGCCGCGCCCGCGCGCACGCCCGACCCTCCCCGCGCGCCGCTCCCCGCGCGGACCACGGACGGCCGCACGCGCCAGGTGCGGGCACGCTCCCCCGCCGCCTCGGGCCAGCCTCCCCCCGCCCGCGCCTGCCCCTGGCCCCTGCTGGGCTCCGGGGGGTCAGAGTTAAAAGCCCGGCCGAGGAAGCACAGCGCCTGACCCCGTTTTCCCACAAAAGCTCCTTCCCCAGGACACTCGGGTGCGCTCCGGAACCGCACTTCAGAGGTATCCAAGAGAGCCCCACATTCCTCTCTCTGGAGGGACATTCCAGAGGCAGGTCCCGCGGGGCGGGCAGGGCACTGCCACCTGCAGCGAGCCCGCGCCTGCCCCTCTTCCTGCGTGGGTGGTCATCCCCCAGCCGGCCTCAGCCGCAGAAATGGGGGGGGGTGCGCTGAATGAGTGGGGAGGGTGCTTGCCTTGCACACCATAGACCCCAGCACCCCCACTGGATCCCCCAAGCCCCATCAGGAGTGAGCCCTGAGCACTGCCAGGTGAGGCCCCCACCCCTGTGCAAAAAAGGGGGGGAGGGCGAAGAGAGAGATGGCTCCTAGATAAGGCTCAGACCACGTTGGTCCTCTCCCCCCGACCCCCCCCCATCCCCATCTCCAGAAGCTTTGGGGTCATGCTGTGAGTGTGTCCCATGTGTCAGCACCCCTGGACATGGGAATGACAGACCCTCAGGGCCCCAGAAGGCTGGGTGAGGACAGCCACTCTGGCCAAGGGGGCAGAGGTGTGGGGTGGGCTTAGCCCTGGGGTCAGGGAGGGAGGAGACTGACCATTCCCCCCTCACCCCCTCACCCTTCCTCCTGGGTGCCTGGGAAGGACTCCAGGTCCTGAATCAGGAGAGGCCTGCTTTGGGGGTACACTCAGACCCCCACGCTGCTCTCCCACGGGGGCATCTCCTTCCAGAAGATGGAAGGAGGAAGGCCCATACGATTAGCAAAAGGGCCAAACCGAAATCCTGGGTCAGGCAGACATTCCCCAAGGGTACCCGAGTGGATGTCACCAAGATCACATGTGCCACTGGGACAAGTCTGTGTGGCAATGAAGTGGAGACCAAAGCATGATGCTGATGTGATAACTCCCACTGCACATATTATCTCATTTAATTCTCAGACACTTCTACTACTGTTTTGCCCCACTTAAAAACTGGGACATGGGGACTCACAGATCACTGCCTCAGTCATAGTCAGGAGCAGCCAAACTCAAAGCCCAAAGCCCAAAATACCTTTTATTTTCACACCCACATGCATACCCACAAATACATACATACACACATACAATCACACACCCATATTTACACGTAAGTCACATACCACAGATTCACATACTTATACACACGATCACATATACACAGTCACATGCACAGCAGACTCACATATACTCCCTCACCGACATATAAAGAAGCATGCATGAGCGCACACACACACACACAACACACACACACACACACACGTGTGCTCGCGCGACCATCGGGCCACCCCCTCCCAGGCAGGGACATGGAGTCCTGGGGGCAGGACACTCAAATCATCGAAGAAGTTTGGGGCGAGGAAAGGGATGTAGCCCTGGGGTCCCAGGCAGCCCCTCAAACCATGGGGGGCAGGGAAGTAAGGAGGCTCAGGACCCCGGACAGGACATAGCCTATCTGGGGCTGTCCCCAGCCAGCACAGCTCACTCCCCTCCCCGCTCTGCTGAGGGCTCTGGAAACACCCCCTCCCCCATACAGGGCAGGGGGAAGGAGAAATGCCACCAGCCCGACTGGGTCCAGCCCGGGCCCCAAAGGCACTCCCACTTGGCGTGGCCTCCTGGGCACCCCAGGAAGGGCCTGTGCACCCCTCCCCCTTTCGTGGGAGAGAAGGGCCCCCTCGCAGGTGGCAGCTGGGGCGGGTGCGGGGAGCTGAGAGGTTATTGTTAGGACAGTCGCCATGGCAACAGGCAGCGCATCTGTGGAGCCGACAGTGCGGAACACGGTCTCCCAGGGAGCTGCGGCCGGCCTGCGGGCAGGGCTATGACAGGCCGGCAGGATGAGCCCTCTGCCACCTTCTCCAGGACGGCACCTGCCCTGAAGAGCGAGTGTGACCCAGAGGGCACAGACCCCCCAGGGAGCCGGAACTAGGGGCTGTGGCGACCTCGGGTGCAGTGGGGGGGTGGGGGGTGCTTTCTGCTCATTCCTTATGGGAGGGAGGTTTCCAGGGGGCGCCGGGGGGTCTGTAAGGGCTCTGTGAACCTCTGCCTGCACCATCCATTTCCAGTGCTCCTGCCTGGGACATGGAACATGCCCGCCGGTGGCAGGCGTGCAGGAGGAGGCTGGCAGCACTGACTAAAGATGACGTGATGGGGGGGTGGAGGGAGAACATGGCGAGGAGGGAGCTTACCTTGCAAGCCACCCACCCAGGTTCATCCCCGGTCCCCCCTTTGGTCCCCAGAGCCCTTCCAGGAGTGATTCCTGAGTACAGAGCTAGGAGTAACATTGTGCCCCCCAAAATAGTGGCCCCTGGGCTCCCTGAGCACTGTCTGGTTGGCCCCATATATATATAACAATGATAGCGATGTCCCAACAAGGCACTGACCGTGGTGATGATGATAGTGTTGGCTCTTAGATACAACCTCCAAGGCACTCACGGCCTGCCGGTGATAGCACAGAGGCCCGACACGTACCTCTTCAGAGGTTATATTAGAGTTACAATATAAGCCACATAGCAACCTTACAAGATGAATGGGGAAACCAAGGCTCTGGGAAGGTTCTGGAACTGAAAAAAGGATCCTTTCTAAAATTATCTTTCGGTGTTTGGACCGCACAGTGTGCTCAGGGATCACTCCTGGTGGTGTTGGGGGTTGAACCCGTGTCAGCCACAGCAAGGCTTGGTCCCTGAGTGCACTAGCTCTGCAGGCCTCGACCCTGAACACCAGTCCTGGGGAGCAGAACCAGTGTTGGCCCCCAGAACCCCCAACTGATGGCTCTGTCCTTGACCACTTTCTGCTGCCTGGGTGGCCTTCGGCCTTGTCCATGTGGTCACTATATGCCAATTGTGTGCCCAACTGTGTCCAGGCATCAGGCCACACCAGGGAATGAGATGGCAGCTATCTCCATAGGGTTTATGATCAGGATCGATGGGTGACAAGACTTGAAGCAAAAGGATTTGCTAGGAAGTATGGCGCAGGGTGGCCACATCCGACTGAGTGCCCAGCTGAATCACAGAGATGCCAGTCGTAAGGCGATGAGGGAAAGGGAGGAAGAACAGCAAGACACAGGGACTGGGGCTGGAGTTCACTGGTCACTGTCACTGCTATCCCGTTAATCACTTATTACTCGAGCGGGCTCCAGTAGCGTCTCCACTTGTCCCAGCCCTGAGATTTTAGCATTGTAAACTTGATGCTCTCTCTCCACGGATGCAGCATGCCAGCTGGATGTCCTTGGGCATAATGGTGACGCGCTTGGTGGGGAATGTGCAGAGGTTGGTGTTCTCAAAGAGCCCCACCAGGGAGGCCTTGTACGCCTCCTTCAGCACCGTGACAGCCGAGCACTGGGAATGCAGGTCAGTCTTGAAGTCCTGTGCGATCTCGCACACCAGCCGCTGGAACGGCAGCTGGCAGATCTCGTGTGGCGTCACAGTGTCAGTATGTTTACTGGCATGTTTAAGAAATCAGGAAGCGGGGCCAAAGTACAGCAGGAAGGGCACTTGCCTACCCAGCACCCCACGTGGCCCCCTGAGCCCACCAGGAGTGACCCCTGAGTGCAGAGTAAGTCCTGAGCACAGCCAGATGTGGCCCAAAAACAAATTTGTGAAAGAAAGACATGAAGAAAGCAGAGAGTGGCAAAGGCCCTACCACACCACTCATCCACACGTTTCACACCTCCAGAGAACCCTGAGCCCCTCGGAGACTAGTCAGGAGCGCTCACACTGGCCAGCAGCCCAGGGAACACGGGCAGTGTCCCCAGGCCTCCACAGCCCAGTTCAGGGAGCTGAGGATGGAGATGCCGTCCCAGACCACCTTCCTTGCTAGGCTCTGAGGCCACTGTCTGGAAGTGACATACTCTGGGGGCAGAGGGGCTCAGGGCCACCAGGCCAGGCCTCAGCTCTGCTCCAACTCCCTCTCCTGTGCTGCTCGCAGGCCCTCCCGGACCACCAGGCAGTGCCACTTCCTGTCGAGCTGCATTTGGCTGGACTCTAAACACATGGCTGCACAGGATGCGGGGAAAGGCCCTGAGACCGACTGGTGGATGTGTGTCCTGTGTACCCAGGTGGTGTTTGCTGCCTTGCCAGTGCACGTTCCCATCATTTCTGTAGGTCGCAGTCCAAAAGAACCAACATATGAGATGTGAGTAGATGCATCTCAGAGATCTAATTCTAACTCCTTAGGAGTTAGTTCTTGCTTTGTGACAGAAGCTGACAACTAAAATGCTAGTTCAGGATGTGCTGCACTGACAGATACACTGTCGGGGACATGGCGCAGATATGGGAAGTCCACTTTGGAAGAACTCTGGCAATTTTCTATAAAGTCAAACAGAGACTTTTTGTATCGCTCACTAATTCTTCTCTTAGGGTTTTACCCAAAGAAATAAAAATATATGTCAAAAAAGCTTATAGATGTATCACATTTGCTGAAACTGGAAACATGATAGCTGATACATGAATGCCCATGGTTAGGAGAATAGGCCAACACTTTGGGTGTATGAAAAAGATAGGAGAACCACTGGCATGCTCGGTCAGGTGAATATCTCGGAATTAAAACTGAACAAGAGGACACGAACTGCGTGATTCCATGTCTACAAAATTTTAAAACAAATCCATAATACAAAAATTAGACTATAGTAATGAAAACAGTGTGATACTGGAATAAAGACAGACTCTCAGACCAATGGACTAAAATTGAAAACCCAGATATTTAAGCATCACATTTATGGACAGTAATCTATG